TGAGTAAAGTCCTTGACTTAAATAAATAAATTTACATGATTTAATTCTAGGATTTTCTCAGTCATTACAATTGTGTTGTGTTGTATTATCATAATACAATACTGTGTTTGGTGTCATGACGTATTATATAAGGGGTCAAATGTAAAATTTTAAAAATTTTAGGGTCAAAATATAATTTTTGAAAAATTTTGGGGTAAAATATACTTTTTTAAAAGTTTTGGGGCCAAAATGAAATTTTTAAACATTTGGGGTCAAAGTGTAACATTACAAAAGTGTTTGGGTTCAAAATGTAATTTTACAAAATATTTGGGGTCAAAATGTAATTTTAAAAAATATAAAATTGCATTGTGTCCCCTCAAATTTTCAACAATTATAAATTCCGTTGTGACTTTATATCGGTCCGATCATGATTTCTAGTCGTGCTCATCCCCGACATCAATCATCAATTCACTATAAAATAACACAATACAATACACTAAAAATGAGCCGTATTTAATAGTACGACATAAATTGTATTAATTTATCATCGGTATTAGTTTATACAATACAATAGTCATACCAAACATAGTATTATTATAAAAACAAACATGGCTTTAGTGGCATGATCCAAGCTTTATTATTGTGATTTCAACCGTTTAATCTAGTTAAATAGTGCCCTTTAAACAACGATTACTTCCACACAATAGAGACATATATATATAATACATAGATAGATACATAACCACCCGGCTGATCCAACAGATAGATACACCCATATATGTACATGCCTAAAACAAACAGAATTTTCCCAAAGACAGCTAGAGATGCATTATTCTAATAATTGGGATAAAGTGAAAGATATGAGAGGACCACATTAGGTCTCATATGTTTCCCCCACCGAATGAGTTTTTTCTTCATTTCGTTTTTAGGGGACCGAATGAGTCATTTTTCACTTCATATAATTGTCCAAGAGAAAAGCCATTCCAATCTCCAAGAGCACCAAAGCACACATGAGTATCTTCGTTTACTCAAGTGGCATATCTTTAATCTTTAATTAGATACTGAGAATAACAACTTTTTGTGGCTGTAATTGTACACTAAAGAAGTTGTCTTGAAAGTGACGTGATTTCGAACTTTTTCCTTTAAACCTGATTCTCTTTCTCTTTTTCTTTTGATACGTGCGACTTTTTTTTTTGTTCTGAATATTTATAGGCCTTTTTTTTTGGTGAAAATTTATAGGCTTATTTGTGACTAAAGAATGAGGAACTTGTCCTTACTCAACCCACTTTCACTTTCGATTCCACTTTGTAATCTAAACCAAAAGTAGTGTGTTTTGTGTGTGTGTGTGTGTGTGTGAATGTTAAGCCGGTGAGTGGGAAGAGCATTAGCTTTTGGAGCATCCAAATGTGTCCATCTCCTGAAAAGCTATATAGTAATCATTTTTAAGATCCTTTTTGTTGGTAGATAGAGAAATGTAAGGAAGACGGCTCTGTGACACTGCTACTTATGAATGTCCAATGTCAATCCTCCATGCAACAACCCTCCCTCTCGGACGTGGATCAATGTTGGTAGGCATTGTGGAAATGGTTAAGATTGGAACCAAGGATTAATCTTGTAACATTATGATTAATCACTAATCTTTTGAACTGGGAGATTCGTATTCGATGGTTTATCAGGGGAAAAAAATTACAATTCTAATGACTTGAGTTTAATTTCTTTCGAAATTAAGGGAAAAAATTGAAGTTACAACATGATTTGATAAGCAAATAATTCTTTTAATAATTTTGTTAACTATTTTTAATTTAATATACATGCATTATTAAATTAAGAACACTCTGTTTGTTCAAATCGGGTGAAAATTATGTTTTTTTTAAGGGAAAATATATTAGAAAGTGTGAAAAGTTAATACAAAAGCCAATCTAACCACGTCTCCTATTACAAGAAACACGACGATGACAAATAGCTAGTTCCATAATGTAAACTCGAATTGAATGCTCAAGAGAAATAATGTGTATTGAGTTACACAAACAAAAGACATCAAAAGTACCAATACACCATAAAAGAGAGCATACACACTGCTTTTTTACATATAATTTATAATCGATGAACAATATTAGACCAAATTGATGTTAAGATCTCACAACACCTAGACCACGAAAAAAGAACTGGAAAAAAAATCGGTCAGATGGAAAACATAGACCACTAAGCAAATGACATAAATACACAAAGTAATCGAAGTAAGAACCAACACTGATATAAAAACTAAAATATCAAAACACCAAAGAAAAAGAATACTAAAAGACTCCAAGACCCATTCTTGAAGTCTACGGGTTGAGATGTATGTTGTAGAATTATCCACATAGAATAACAAGACATCTTGAGATAGGGTGGCAGTTCGTGTTGCCGTATCGTGTTCGTATCATATTAACCTTCTTAGTTGACACGGTAAGTCTTGACACGAACACGATTCATTTATTATTCGTGTTGAAATACAAAATCTAAATACGATCTGTATATTGGCGGGTTGACACGACACTGCACAACTAACCCGTTTATTAAACATGTCATAATAGTATCGTGTCAACTTATTTCTAATAATCCGTTTATAAAATGAATGATAATAAGATCGTGTCAACATATTTCTCAACCTATTTTTCTTTATATATATATATATATATATATATATATTTGTAGATATAGTTAATAGATGAGTTGTAATTGTGTTGTGTGCAGGTCAATTACGGGTTGGCGGGTCAACTTGAATACAACACACTATTTAATCGTGTTTTATGGATTCGACCTAATTTTGACCCAAACTTATTTATGATAAACTCAAACCCGCTAATTTCGTGCGGGTTTCGAGTCATGTCGTCATGTTGCTATCCGTATTGCCACCCTTACCTTGAGAGACCAATGTCGTGGTCCGCCCTAACAATAACGTGTGAAATGCATGGATCCCATGACACTGCTACATACACCGCCTACACTACATGGATCGAAAATCCCAAAGATCTTGGTCTTTGGGCGCACTAAGGTTCATTTAGTACAAGAATTGAAATTAAGGTGATTCTAATCGTAATTCTAGAACCAGAACCATGATTCATGATTTTGGGTTCAAATCATGATTCTGAAACCATGATTCAAAATCAGGAGTTTGAATCACCTTGAATTAAGAAGGAAGTCGTTTTAGAATCATGATTTGAGCTAGTTTAAAACATCATATTAAATTTTAAATCATCCAAACTAAACACTAATTTTAAATCAGGATCCAAAATCAGTGTAAATCTTGCAATCACCCTCCAAAAGTCGATCCATCTCATTTGCTACCTAGAAACGCACTCTATCACCACGACCTTCCAACCCACAACTAGGCAAAAAGCTTATTGTCAAGGTTTAGGCTAGGAACTGAGCGACGCGATTAGAGGCGCCGCCAAAACTTCGTTTGTTCTTCTCTACTTTCTTCTCTCTCTCACTCTTCGATTCTCTTGAAGAAAGACTTTGTCGCTCTCATATATATATATATATATATATTCAAAAAAAATCCTCATTGAAATATACAAATCTTAATATTATTTCATATTCAACTTAACTGACTTCTAAAATGATAATTAGAACAAATAGGATCACCAACTAATCGAGTCTGCGAACTCTAACTTGTGCTAGAACATTAGTTCAAGGAATTTGTCGATGAACTTTTCCGAGTTCACTTTCACCTTTCGAAAATCGAGATTCTAGAATTGACAATTCTTATCTACATCCCCTTAGAAGTCGATTTACAATCTCCTTTGAAAATTGTGAATAGACTACTTGGCAGCACGCTTGAAGCCACCAAAACAAATACAATTAGGGGTAAGGATATAGGCCAGTTTGAGTCATCTCCACTATGTTATATGTATATTTACCTACCGATTGTTAGTCTTATCTCTTGAAAAAGTAAAAAACAGCTTTTCACTTTATTGTCACAAAGTATAATTATAAATAAATCTAGTAAAAATATCAAGATTGATATAACGATTAATTCATTTATTATTAAAAACTGGAGTTAAATAATTAATTCTACTAAAGAACGTGGAGATTTTTTTTTTATTATTTTGTGAATGATCTTTTCATGCGCTTTTTTTCATTGACATTCACGTAACTCCACAGACAAAATCGAAGTCAAAAAGAAAAAAAAAAAATTTGTTCAATTTGATGCTCTACTATATGTGAGTGAATATATTTATGGTTAAACAAGAGAGATTGAATTAATATATAACATATCCTGTTCTTAAAAGAAAAAAAAAAAAGAGTTTTCTTTTCCTTTCAAAAGGTCAAATCTCGATGATCTATCTCTAAAAGAAGGATTCTTTATTGGTTAAAGAAGAAAATAGCATAGAATATTGGATTCTATAATTGAAAGGTGGATTATGTTTTTTTCAAGTTCGTTTAGAAAGAAACGTGGAAGTTTTTTGCTTGTAGAAAGAAACGTGAAAGTTGAAGTTGCACTAAAACTTTTTTCAACGCAATGGATAAGAATGAAAAGAGTGAAAGAGTCTTTCCCAATCGAAAAGTCACTTCATCTTTTTTGCATATGCACTTTTGATGGTAGTTTTCTGGTAAATGGCAAGGTATCACTTTCTGTGTATGTAATATTTTTGAAAGGTATACTGCAACTAAAGCGAGATTGAAAGGCAGATTGCACAAGCTAAAGAGTAGTTCATGAAAATGACTGTATAACGACCGTTATCACAAAGACTGGTGAAGCTCCTTGACATATAAGTTATACAAATTACAAGCACTTACTACATCATAGAGTCACTTTCCGACTAAAATCCTAAATTTCATCTCTCAACAAAAGATTTGAGTTTCTTTTTTTTTTTCCTAGCTAAATAAAAGGAAAAACTAATGAGAATCCAGGAGAAGACCCAAAAACTAAATAAAAAAATAATTTTAATCCTAAATTTCATCTCTCAACAAAAGATTTGAGTTTCTTTTTTTTTTTTCCTAGCTAAATAAAAGGAAAAACTAATGAGAATCCAGGAGAAGACCCAAAAACTAAATAAAAAAATAATTTAAAAAAAAAAACTACCATACTATGCTACTTTTGCTAGCAATTAATTCTACTACAAAACCCTTAGAAAACTGCTAGAATGAAAACCCAAGTTTCGCGTCCTGCTGTGGAATCTAAGGATGGCCGAGGTACCATAGTCGCAACTGTTGCTAACATAACTCGGCAAACATTTCATACATTGTTCTTCTTGCGCCTGTAGGCTGTGGTCATCCATTTATCTTCCTCAAGTTAAAAAGAACTAATTTATCCGTTTCACAAGGCTTGACTTCACCAAAAACATTTTCTGGGTCAAAATTCGGCTTTTTAACCAATCATACACCAACTACGGTGTTATAAGTACCATAAGCAGCGAAAAGCATGCCACATGACAAGATGACAAAATCCAAGGCTCTTTGCCACAGATTTAGAGAGGACCAGAATATTTTCAGATGAAATATGGCTGGCAAAACAAACGAGATTAATGCACATACGGTACTCCCAACAAGAGAGGCGAATACACCAAACGCCGGCACGCATGAGGCCAATATCGCCAATCCGATTACCAACATAGAACGGCTCAGGTATATTCCAAACTTTCCTATGCTTGTTGTTGAATAGCCATTGGTATTTTCGGCATCCTGAAACCAGTTGCTCTTCTTTAACCTTCCCTCTATGATCTCGTTAATGGGATGTACCATGATTGGAAATGTGAATACAAGCCCCAAGCACATGCCAATCTGTAATCAGTCAGCAAAAACACCAAGAAGAAGATCAAGAAACAGGTAAGGACTATTATTATTCTTAAAGGCACACAATACTGCATTGAAGTCGTAGGTCTCTTTTAGTCCATACCCGGCCAGACCAAACCTTAAAATCATAGTTTTCATTTGATTTTGTCATCAACGGAACTATTAAAATATGTTATCTATATCAAATGGATAACAAGATTAGTGGTCAAATTTTATTGGACTAAGACATGCTATGGTCCCGCCATGAAGTAAGCATATCAATCAAAATAAATGAAAAGCAAAGGCTTTAATATCATTTCTTTAAAGGGAAATACGGACATTCCAAGTCCAACACATGACTCTCTCTCTGAGAACTGCACACAATTTCTTGTATCCAAATAGTTAAACGAAATAAAGTAATGCAAAAACTTTACATTGAGAATACTGCGTCTATCTAGTATTAAGATAAACAGACCCAAGAATAACAGCAATTATATAAAGATGACAATGATGAACCCCAGACAACACATAAACTTATAAGCAAGGACAAAAAGACAGCTTGGTTGAAAAACTAAATACATGTTTTCTAGGACAATGACAAAAACCCACACTGAATCAAATCCATAAGTTATTACAATGTGACAGAAAGGATTATTTGCACCATATTAGAAAACATGAAAGAGCAGAATGAGCTGCAAAATTAACTCCGTTCATTTTAGCATCTTCCATAAGTGCGACCACATGCAAAGCAATGAAGCGTTGCACGCAATTTTGATGTTTCATTTTCAGCCTCATTATTACACATGGAATGTAATATAAAGTTTGAAACTAGGAACTAGGAAGTTGGTTTTTAAATTTGATATTGCTGGTTTTATAAATCTAATCAAGTTTATTCAAATTTTTGAAATAATACTCGAAAATTTAAGACTAAATCTAAAAGTATAAATAGATTAACTATTAAGGTTGTAGCAGTACCTGAACGGCCAGTGCCCACCAATCCCTAGGGAGATTGAGAGTGACTATATCTCTCGTTTCATCACCATACGCCATGTAACCAAAGAACCCGAACAAAACATACAAAAGGGTGATCCCAGTAAAAGCCTGAGCGAGCAACTTGGGAAAACTTCTTTTGTCTCTCATTGAGCCCTCCAATGCCAATGTCATCCCAAAGCCCTCAAAGCAAAACACCGCCATGCCTCCGGCAAACGGCAAGCCCCCAATATTCGACGTTATAGCCGTCCTTTCCTTGAAAGAAAACTCACCCCCTAAAGCCTGCTGTATGTCTTCCTTGACCACAATCCCCATAGCCAACACATTGCAGATATCAGCAAATATGCTAAAGGGTGCTAAAGCAGATAAGCTTCCAATCCATGAAAACCCAATTTCAATTGGGACAAGCAAGAGTATGAAGGAAGAGAAGTTCCAATGGCCTTTAAACACTGATGAAAGGTTTTGTCCTATAAACACAAGGTAGGCCACGGAGCCTCCACATTGTGACAAGAAAATGAGAGACTCAGCTAGAAAACGACCTGTCGTTCCCATGCTTTCATAGCCCAAGTCGCCATAGGTTTTTCTGTTTGTTGAATCTTCCTCTTCTTCAGATGCCAACTTGTCCCTACACTTGACCTGCCCATCACCAAAACCACGAGTGAATCATAACCCCTTTTATATAAATTCTAGTCCAAAAGAAATAAAGGGCCCATTTGGTAACATTTTCAAAATGATTTTATTTTCAGTACAAAAGTAAAAATGAGATTGTTTTGAGAATCATTCTGTGATTGATTTTAAAATTGCATTTGGTTATTTTTTAAAGAGATTATTTTGAACGCAATAAAAAGTGAAAATCGTATTTGGTTATAATTATTAATTAATATATTATAACATTGTTGATAAGTATTAGAAAATGAAAACAGAAAAGGGAAAATAACTTTCAACCATTTTTTAATTCCTTCACAAAAATCATTCTTACTGTTTTTTTTTTGTTTTCGTTTTCATTTTTAAAATATTTGCTAAACAAACACGGTTTGTAAACCGTTTTCATTTTCGTATCTTTATGAAAACGTTTTTAAAAACAATCTAAAATCAATTCCAAACGCACTAAAATTTCCTTTTTGTATTTTAAATCAAAGAACAAATGTGTAAGTATACTCCAAATTATTCTTAATCCAAGGTTCTCTCCCCCACAAATCACAAAATTAATTTTCGTGGGAAACAAACAGCACATGTTTGTTATACATTTGAGTCCAAAAGGAAATTGAAAGGAAAAAAAAAAAAAGGAAAGGAATATTGCACATGCACTAAACCATTCTTACTTCAAGGTTTTTTCTTTTTTTCCCCAAAAATACACAAATTAATTTTCCTGAGAAACAAACAGAGCATATCTTTCAGGTTTTCTTTTTCCCTAAAAAGACACAAATTAATTTTCATGGGGACAATTTCAAATTGTGAATCACCATCGCAAGAAAAGTTGAACAATTTATGAGTGTTAAGTCGGAACGAATGATTTACGGGTGAGAATATACGCATGACATAGATTCATTTTCGCGGGAAGCAAACAGAGCACATGAAGTTCCGAATTCCCAGAAATTTGAAGTTTTGAGAGCGAAAACTTACGAGAAGAAGCATGCAATAATAGGTGGCGAGACCGGCAACGATGATGCCGAGCGAGCCGGCGAGCCAACCGGCGATTCGGAGAGCGAAAGGGAGGCCCAAAACGCCGGTCCCGACGATCGAAACGACGATGTTCGCTAGGGTTTGAACCGTCGAAGTTGTTCCCAAAGCTGCTCCCGAGTCCAGCAATGGAATTCCAGCGGTTTTGCCTCCGTCTTCCATTTTCCTCGAGCTTCACAGAAGCTTTCAAGCTCTCTCTCTCTCTCTCTCTATATATATATATGTGTGTTTCTCTCTCTAGGAATTTCCGTGAATATAAGACTAACCTGTCATTTGAGATTGACTAGTACCACATGGTGATTCCAATCTGAGCAGACTATCTTGGACGTATTATCATGCATAAATACATATATAAATATATGTATACAAACATATTATTCTATACAAATCTATGTGATATATATGCATGGCAAGTGAAAAATGTTTGAGATTCGGATGACACAACTTCCCTATACGGTTGTTCTTTCAACACGACAACGCAGAACAGCTATTAATCTTCCAGTCGGTGGTTTTTTATTTTTTATTATTTTTTACTTCAGTTTTTACCATACTTTGTTTTTTAAGGTACACTAAAACCAATACTTTCTGGACCTTGAAATTTAGATATAAATACTTAAAGGGGGATATGGTTTTAATTTAATTTATATTTGCTGAAGATAAGATTTAAACTTATATTTGATTTGAACGATGAAAATGATAAGATCGAGAGTCTTCTCTAAAAGAGAATATGATGAACCATAAGATTTTCCTAAATTGCTTGAAAATTTTTTAAATTTTTGATAAGCATGAATGTCTGTAATAGAAATTTTAAAGATTTGATCGAATCAATTATTACCAAAATTGATTCTAAAATGCCAATAATATATTATTATATTATGTCCTGTATAATTTTATTTACAATGTTGAGACCTGTTCTTTGCACTTCTCTTTTATGTTATTAACTTATCTCAATTTTTTTAAGGGATAATTTCATTTCAATTTTTTTTTAAAAAAATAAAGAAACAAATTTGGCTTAGAAATCGGGTTTTTTTATTTTTTAACATGGATAACATACATGATATGTTCATTTAGCCACTGGCCATTTTTCTCAGTTAAAAAAGCCCCAGCCCCCCCAGGTAGAATAAGTAGTTATGGGCAAATTGCAACTTCAGTCATTTTAGGCTTAGCAAAAGAGAATGTTGCACTCCTAAAAAAAATAAAAATAAAAAATAAAAAATAAATGAGAATGTTGCACATCTAACTCAACAATTTTTTTGCTACCAAATATGACGCCCAAAATCCCGTACAAGATGAGCAAATTGGATTTTAATTTTCTAATACGATTAATTGATTGTGGTCATTTCTTGAAAAAAAAAAAAAAAAAAAAAAAAAAAAATTTTAAAAAAAAAAAAAAAAAAAAAAAAAAAAACTTATCGATAAGAATAGAAGATTTTATTACGCTAAGGTAGGGGTCACTTACCACCCCCACCAACCCCCAAAAAGTAATAAAAAGTAATAATCTCATATTTAGTCTTCAAAAACAGGTCAAATCCTCAATTGCCTTTTCTGTTGAAGGACCAATTTAAAATAATTTGGTAGAACAGAGATGAAAACGACATTTGGCTTATACTTCAGGATTAAAAATGAGATTAATCAATAAATACGCGTGTGTGTGTGTGTGTAGTGTTAGTAAGGCCTATTCTGAGAATCGGAATAATCAGACATTTTACCTTCTAGATTGTCGTTTGTGAGATTTTTTCTCGTGTTCTTCTCGGACACTCGAACAGGTTGCTTCTCAATCATTGGTCGGCAGTTCTCGCCAACAAGCGGCAGCGTGCAGTCCTCTTGAAATATGGGAACTTGGACCCCCTATGTATAGAAAAATCTCAGCACGGAAACCAAAGCGTCACAGCCCAGAATCTTGCCGAATCGTTGTCCAATCTGAACGCCCCACGTGTCCACTTACGCCAGCACGTCCCATCGTGTCAGAAGAGAGAATCCCGAGTAGGTCGTAACTCTGCACCAGACGGATTGCTCCCGAATAGTGGTCGGCACAAGTGCGCCTTCCCGACCAGCCGACGAGGCGCACTGGGGGGCTGCTGCTGGTGACCTGATTGACTCATGCTTGTCGATCACTTATCCGCCGTAGTATCACCGAGCAAATCTCGGCCGTTTAGCTTCCGGTTTGTTTGCCGAACAGCACGCGGTAATCCCCTTTCCTGCTCGCCACTAAAGGTATGTTTGGTTCATCGATTTAGAATTATGATTCAGAATTATTCTCGATTTACGTGTGTTTTTTGTGTGAGAAAATACTGTAACGAGCCACAAACCATGATTTGAATCATTGCACGAATACAGCAACCAAACACACTCTAAGATTCGGCCTCGACAGATTTTAGTGGACTGCTCTTCAACTCTGGTTTGCTGAACAGAAATTGGAGAAAAGATTATACATTTGACCGTCCATTAGAGATCATCTCCACGGTCTATCTGGGCCACTGTATGACTGGTGTGGATAGGTGACACCTGGGACCGCCCCTGATAGAGCTGTACGGCCACCCCGTGGTATTGAGATATGAATAATTTTTTCCAACGAACTTCGCCCTTCTTTCCATTGTTTCGAAGAGAATACTAAGAAGACATTTAGTTTATGAATTCAGAATCATTTTCAGTTTATATGTATTTTTGTAAGAGAAAATATTATAATGAGTTATAAATTATGATCTGAATTATAACACGGATTTTTATTCTAAACGCACCCTAACTTAATTGTCGGAGGGTCATTGACGAGCACCACACCGGTGTAGAGATGTCAAACGTGCCGTGCCGAGCCGGCACGACACGCTTGACCCCAGGCCCATTACGGGCATGGGCCGTGCCTGGGCCGGGCCTGAGAAGAAAAACTCAGGCCCGGTCCAGGCCCTTGGCCCTAGTCCATAATAGGAGTACACATAAATGACTGCCCCGTTAAAAACCTTGCTAAGTAAAACCCGTGGAGAGATCGGGACAAAACCTTAGCGAAGGAAAAAAGAGTGCAGTAGCTAGGAATAGTAAATTACAAACCTAAGTGCTTCCAGAAGATTCTGTTATTTCTAAGTTAGAAAAATATTCTTGCATCGAATCATCTGTGTATTGTTGTTTTCGTCTTCTGGCATCTTTCCAGTCTTTAACGCACATTAGTCCCTCCAAGATATCTGGATGCATTTTGCTTCTCTTCTCGTCAAGAATTCGGTTGCTTGCGCTAAAAGCTTGCTCCGATGCTACCGTTGACACTGGATTTGTAAGAATGTCACTAGCTATTATGGACAGTGTTGAAAAACGATCGGTCTTGCTCTTCCACCACTGTAAGATGTCTAGTTTGTCGTCATCGATTACAAAATTTGCTTCAAAATATTTGACTAGTTCCGTAGACGCTTGTGTTGAGGACGATCCTGCCGTTTTCTCTTTCTTCTTCAAGAAACTCCACAACTATCCTTTAGGCCCCGAACTGGTAGTTGACAACGAAGTTCCCTGTTCTTTTTTACCTGTGCTATATTTTACTTCATACAAACTAAAAACTTTTTCTAACATTTTCTTAGCGTTAGTAATACTTAGTTGCATATCTATTTCTAAATTCTCTGCGATAGCAGTCATCAATGATTCAGTTCCATCTACTCCGCACCCAGGATCTAAAATGGTTGCCAATGCTTATAACATTGACAACTTGACCAATAACTTTTAAATTTATTTTCCATTAAGTTAACTATATTTCCAAAAAGTTATGTATCCCTATAATAAGAAAATGTTTCTGAAATATTAAATAGTTTATGTAAAACTAAATGTGCAGTAGGATAATAAACTCCAGAAAGTAATTCAGTAGCATTGTAAAAAACTTCTAGAAATTTAAAAAAATACTCAGCAATCTGCCAATCATGATCGAAAATTAAAATTTGATCGTTCTTACTGTTTACGTATGTCGTGATAATCTGTGAATACGGGAGTACTGCCTTCAACATTAAATATGTTGAATTCTACCTATGTCTCACGTCAGTTGGAAACTTTCTTGGGCGCATTTGGCTGTTTCTGCAATATTGTTTGAATTCTTGGAGCCGAGCTCCAGAACTAGATATGAATGATAATGATTCTCTAATATTTGTAAGATTAACTGAGATATGTTCAATGCCTGCCTGAACTACTAAATTAATAATGTGACATGCACACCGTTGATGAAAAATTTTCCCTCCAAATGCTGGTTTCAAACTACGTTTAAACAGATTAATTGCAGCTATATTAGCTGACGCATTATCAAAAGCAATTGTTAAAACTTTATCCTCTATCCCATAAAACCCAAAAATTTCCATTATTGTATTAAAAATAGTTGCGTTATGGGGGTATGAACATAAACGAAAACCAATTATTCTTTTTTGTAAAACCCAATCGTCATCAACGTAGTGCGCTGTGACACATAAATATCCAGTTTTATTGTACTCCTCCCACAGATCAGAAGTGCAAGAGACAATAGCATTAAAAGTCCTAAAATTATCAACAAGAGATTGTCTCATTGCATAAAAAACTTTCATGCAATCAGAACGAGTTGTGTTTCTACTTACCCATTTAAATTGTGGGCAAAATGTTGTCTGGATGAATTCTTCGAACGAGGCATCATTTGTTAAAAAAAAGAGGCAATTCGGCACTAGCTAGAAATTTAGCTAGTGCCTCACGAGCACATTGTGCATCGTATGTAAAATTTTGTAACCCCTGTGATGTGAGTGATAGTGTTTGTTGGCGGGAGTCTACACTCCCACCTTGGTGCAACGGTAGACATACTTTCCAATGTCTATCCAGATGACCAGTACCCCCACCCTTTTTATTAGAAAAATGTTTTTTACAATATTTACATACCGCACGAATTTTCATCTCACCTGTTTTGGATTTGGTCGGGGCTCATCGGTGAAATGCTGCCGTGCCGGAGAAGTTCGCGGTCTTTTTCCTCTGCCGCGTTCTCCAACTTCCTCGTTGTGTACTAAAGCATTATCCACCGGAGCATTTTCTGGTTCAGTGGGGGTGGGGTTGGGAGGCATCATTTCATCCTCATAAAATGGCTCATCACTAAGCTCAGGAAGAGCAGTGAAATCAGGGAAGTTTGGAGCGGCCATTTCTGAAAATTGATAGAACTTGATTGAACTTTGTAAATGAAAGAGCTAGAAAATGAATGAACGCGAGAGAAAAGCTTAGAATCAAAATCAAAGAGACAAGTTGAGAGATAGAATGAGAGTGAGATGAGAAGTTGAGAGTGAATTGTTATGTGAGATTTATGGTGGAATTAAGGAGTATTTATAGGGAATTTTGGGGGTGAATTTTCAGATTTTAGGGTTTTTAGTCGTTGGGCCCTTTGCGGGCCAAACGGGAGGCCCGTCACGTGCCTCCCGTTTGGGCCCGCGAAGGGGCCCTGGACCAAATGAAATAGGCCGTTTCGCAGGCTTGGGCCGGGCCGAACAAGGGCCGAATCAGGGCTTGGGCCGGGCCGAACAAGGGCCGTGCCGCAGGCCTCCACGTGCTTGGGCAGTGCTTGGGCCGCAGGCTGAGAAACTGAGGCCTAGCCCTAGCCCATTACACGTGCCGTGCCAGCACGGCCCGTAACAGTAGCGAACCGGGCTGTGCCGAATCCGACACTATTACGGGCTGGACCGGGCCGTCCATGGACGGCCCGGCCCATTTGACACCTCTACACCGGTGGCCCGAGAGCTCTAAGCTCCCTAGTTCTATCCGTGCAGGACAACCCTGCCCCGTTCCTGAGCAGAACAGATCTAGCCATTCGACTAGCTCCAGCAGAGAAAGTGTGTCTGACCACCATACGCAGTCGTACTTGGTGTTGTGTCAGATTTGAACATCAACATATAAGTAACATTTTCTTGATCAAAGTCACACAAAAGAGGTGAGGTGAATGACATGGTTGATGTTAGAAAGCCAGCAACAGATTAGAATTCAACTTAAATCCTCAAATACATATTTTGAAAAGATGATACAAATCTCTTCACGGGTCAAGGCCAAGATGATAGAAGAGGAACACAATTTTACGAATCAATTAAAAACAACCTTATACTTTAAAAATAAAAATAAAAACTACCTTATCCCACTAATAAATACAACTATCACCAACAACAAAAAACAAAAAAACAAAAAAAAAAAACCACAACAAAATCAAGTTCATTTGTACATTTGTTTCCTCACCTTGTACGTGATTATAAAGCTCCTAAATCCCAGATAACAATTTCATAAAGCCTGAAAACAGTAAGGCTGGCAAATGCAGTCAATTGCATGCATGAGTTTCCTCCTAGGCCCCACTGCGTTTGCACCCATGTCCTTGAGCTTCTTCATGGTCAGATTGACCAACTGAAACTTGCCAATACTCTTCCCTTGAAAGAGCCTCACAAACTGTTCTAGACCAAGAGAAGCTAGCCATCTGCTCAACCCGCCGGCTTTCTGAAGCTTCCTCTCGAGATTCAGTGCCCTCAATCTTTGGTTCAACAGCATGCCACCATCAGGGAAATCGCCGTTGCCATGGAGAAATGGTCTTGGCCGGATGATGGTTCTCGAGGCTTTAGATACTCCGAGTACTTTGTGAGACTTGGAGGTATCACTGCGGTTTGGGTTTATTGATACTATTCTTGGATCTTGCCTCAAAGTTCTGGTCAGTGTTGGAATGTTTGGAGCAGAAGAAGCCTTCTTAACAAGTTGGAGATCCGTTTTAGAAGCTGCAGACAATGACCTTTTCCGCTCATCAACTGATGGCATCCTGGGACATGTATCGGTTGGACGCGGTGATCTGTTATCTGCCCTTTTTCTAGGCAGGGCTTGCAACTGACTTGGTTCTGCATTTAACTGCAGAGACCTATCAGCAACATGTAGTGAAGGCACCAGAATGGTAACCTTCTGCTTCTTCACAATCACCCAACTATTTTCTCCGCAGAATTTCAGATCAGGGTCGGAATTTAGAGAGCCGACAAGCCTGCTTGAATCATCGTGCCTTTGCTTTGCTTTTCCCATCAAGCTGAACCTTCTGGTCAAGTGATATGTTAAACAATACAATTTCTTTACATAAACTAATGAGCAAAATTATGAAACATACAGCTTCTACACAATAAAAAGATGACCAAACAATAATATACTATCGGCTATTATTATATTTTATAAAGCAAGGTGCAAAAACTATACTAATGCATATAAAAATTTAGCTTGGGAGAAAAAGAACAAATCAAGACATTAGACAGAAATGCCAGTCTTTCTTCACTTAATTAATTCTTCTTCCCATTATAAAAGATTTCATTTTATGTTCTCCTTCCCTTCTAAATAAAGTAGAGTAGTTAACTAGAATCCATTTACCAATAGGACATATTACAAGGAGTATTGGAATGAGAAGCCTTGGGACTTAACGAGAAACCCCCCAAAGACATCTTCTTACTAAAAATGAGGTTGATATGCTTCAGTTTTAGTCAAAACATAAACTCCATAAATAAAATTTAGATAAAAAATGCTACAACGAACTCAGGGGGAAAAAAAAGAGGTTTCTATTTCGAATGAAAATTACACCTTAGACAAAACCTCAAAAGTATCTATTGTTCATGAAGTTTATAATTGAATATATCATGCTCAAAAGGGTACATTGAAAAATTATTAGCAAAAATTTTCTGTGTGATTAAACATAACCATAACATTAGAATTAATAACCATGCATACTTTATAGGCAAGATTACAAATTAAAATAAAACCTATGTTAAATGATCTGTGGTAACTCCGCCTATGCGTTTGTATAGCCGGTCCCAAGCCCGGGTAAAGGAGGAGGGTTGCGGTAGGTTGACGGCCAGCTTAAAAATAAGTCACTCTCATGGATTTCACTCACATAGAATCTGTTGGGGTGTTCCCTACGTGCAACGCGCTATGCCGGGCCCCGGGTATAGTGTTAAATAGGCAAGGGGGGTCTTCGCACATTCATGGACGGGTGTGGGGTGAAAAGCAAGCCCATGCGCCATGTCGTGCCCCTGATATGGTGAAAAATATGCAATGGGGGTCCTTGCACATTCATGGACGTGTGCAAGTGGCAGAGCTAGCCCACGATAGGAAAATTCGTTTAGGCAGTTGGAATGTAGGTTCTTTAACTGGTAAATTTATGAAGTTAGTAGATGTTATGGTAAGAAGAAGAATTAATATTTTATGCTTACAGGAAACAAAGTGGACAGGAGAGAAAGCAAAGGAGATTGGAAATTTAAGACACAAGATATGGTATACAGGTTGGGAAAGGAATCGCAATGGAGTTGGTATTCTAGTGGACAAAACTGTGAAGGATGATGTAGTTGAGATTAAGCGAATAGGGAATAGAATTATTATGCTCAAATTGGTACTAGGATTGGATGCGGAAACTAAAGTCAAGTTCTGGGAAGACATGGATGACTTAGTGTGTCGTATAGGCAATGAGGATAGCATTTTCATTGGAAGAGATTTCAATGGGCATGTTGATAAGGATAGGGAAAACTTCGAAATGATCCATGGTGGTTTTGGTTTTGGAGCTCGAAACGAAGAAGGAAAATCTATTTTGAAATTTGCGTTGGGACATGATTTTATCATAACAAACACATTTTTCAAGAAAAGAGATTCTCATTTGATAACTTTTAAGAATGGAAGGAACTTAAGCTAGATAAATTATTTTCTCACCAGGTATAGAGATCGTTCTTTATGTAAGAATTGTAAAGTAATTCCTGGAGAAGTACTAACCACCCAACATAGATTAGTGATCTTAGATGTGAGCATTAAGCTTTGCTATAAAATGATCAAGATAAACCACCTCCCACGAACTCGTTGGTGGCATTTGAAAGGAATAAAGCACTTGGCCTTTAAAGAGAAGTTGTTAGATGAGGCTACTTGGTCATATGTAGGTGATGTAAATACTATGTGGGATGTCATGGCCAGCTTCATTAGAAAAGTGGCAAAAGAGGTACTAGGAGAATCTAGAGGTAAAGGCCCCCCTGGGAAAGAAACCTGGTGGTGGAGTGAGGAAGTTCAAAAGGCTATTAGGACCAAGAGGGGATTTAAATAGAGATTTACCAAAACGTAAAGATGTTAAAACTTTTAATAAGTACAAAGAAGCGAAGAAAGAAGCTAAGCGAGCAGTTGGTAAGACTCGTTCTACTTACTTAGATGAGGTATATAGGAAACTTGGGACTAGAGAATGAGAGAATGATATATATAAACTAGCTAAGATAAGAGAAAGGAAGTGTCATGACCTAAATCAAGTAAGGTGTGTTAAGAATGATACGGATCAAGTTTTGACAAGAGATAAAGACATTAGGGAAAGGTGGAAGAGTTACTTTAAGAAGCTTTATAATGATGATCATGTGATAGAGTTTGACAATCTTAGGTCACAAGGAGAACCTAATGTGATGTATACAAAAGGAATCAGAGTCTCGAAAATTAAAATTGCACTACGGAAGATGAAAAAGGGGAAGGCATGTGGGCTAGATGATATTCCAATAGAGGTTTGGATGGCGTTAGGAGATGTTGAAATTGTGTGACTCACTGAGCTTTTTAATGAGATACTAAAGAATAAGCATATGCCTGATACATGGAGGAAAAGTATTCTTATCCCCACCTTCTAGAATAAAGGAGATGTGATGAATTGTAACAATTATAGGGGCATAAAGTTAATAAGCTACATTATGAAACTTTAAGAGAGAGTTATCGAAAGGAGATTAAGGGCCACAACTACCATCTCACGTAACCAATTTAGCTTCATGCCAGGCAAATCAAGCATAGAAGCTATTTTTCTTCTTAGGATGCTGATGAAAAAGTACAGAAAAGCCAAGACGGACCTACATATGGTCTTTATAGATTTAGAAAAGGCATATGATGGGGTGCCGATGGAAATTTTATGATGGGTGCTAGAAAAGAGATGAGTGCATGTGAGGTATATTAAGGTAATTAAGGACATGTACGATGGGGTGGTCACGAGTGTGAGAACTGCTAGAAGCTACACGACAGAGTTCCCCATTCGGATCGGCCTTCATCAAGGATCTGCTCTTAGTCCTTATCTTTTCACCATCGTGATGGATGAGCTGACAAGAGAAATTCAAGATAAAGTTTCTTGGTGTATGCTTTTTGCGGATGATATAGTTTTAGTTGATGAACATAGGGAAGGAGTTAACCGTAAGTTAGAACTGTGCAGACAGACTCTCGAAATGAAGGAATTTAAGTTAAGTAGGACGAAAAATGAATACATGCATTGTAAGTTTAGTAACTCAAGTAATCAGAGTGATAAAATTTTTTTAGATGGTGTGAAGATTGGGGCTTCTAGGAAGTTTAGGTACCTTGGGTCTATAGTGCAGCACGAAGGAGATATAGAAGAGGATATTCAACATAGGGTTAAGGCATGGTGGGTTAAGTGAAAGAATGTTACGGGAGTTTTATGTGACAGCAATATGCCTATTAAGTTAAAAGGAAAGTTTTATAGAACTGTAATCCGCTCAGCTGTGTTATATGGTAGTGAATATTGGGCCATTAAGAGACAATATATATCTAAGATGAGTGTGGCAGAAATACGTATGTTAAGATAGATAAGCGGCCATACGAGAATTGACCGTATAAGCAATGAAGTTATTCGTAGTAAAATAGGTGTAGCACCAATAGAAGATAATGTGCGCGAAGGCCGCTTGAGGTGGTTCGAACATGTCCAACGTAGACCGCTAGAAGCACCAGTTCGTGCTTGGGAAGACATTCTTATACCTAATACTAGGAGAGGGAAAGGTAAATCAAGAATTACGTGAACCGAAGTCGTTATAAAAGATATTCTAGATCTAGACTTTCAAGAAAATATAATTTCGAACATAATCGTGTGAAAAAGTGAAATTTATATAGCCGGCTTCAATTAAGTTGGGATGAAGGCTTGTTATTGTTGTTGTTGTTAAATGACCTGTGGTCAAACTAATTTCGATTAAACATAACCAAAACATTAGAATTAATAACCATACATACTTTGTAGGCAAAATTACAAATTAAAATAAAACCTAATGTTAAATCATCTGTGGTCAAACTAATTTCGATTGTTTGGTTTTTCCAATTAGGACTGGTGTTTCGGAACAATTCTTCTTCCCTTTTGTCCATTAAAACTCAGTTACTACAGTTTTGTTTACAAAAAATTAAGAAAAACAACATACTTTTCGATCGTATTCTTCTTCTTGTCAAATTGGTCACGGGAAAACAATAAAAGTAGATGATAAGACCCAGAAAAACTCACCTTTGAAATCGAATCAAGAGAGTTTGGTTAAGCAAAAGGAAGTTTATTGGATCCCAAACAAGCAATGCAAAGCGAACTTGTTTATTGGGGGTGGCGGATTGCGGCGGTGCTGGGTCCGCAAGAGAGGTGGGCGTTTGCGGAGACGGCGGCGCTCGAGGGGTTGGTTTCCTTAGTTGCCGGCGTGATCTCCGGCGGGGTGGGGCGTAGTGGCACGCCGGTGAGATCGATGGGGCTGGATCGGGGAATGGTTGGTTTCCCGTTTCCGGAAGTCGGCTTTATTGTTTGCGGTTTTTTTTTTTTTTTTTTTTTTTTTTGGTTTGGGTTTGTACTTTGTGCGCAGGGGTTGAAAAAAAAAAAAAAAAAAAACCGACCACTCGAACCTAACCTCTAAGCCCTAATCCAATATATTCTAAGATGATGTTTAGTTTATGTATTCAAAATCATAATTTAAAATTATTTTTATTTTATGTGTATTTTTGTGAGTAAAAATATTATAAAGAATCATTAATTATGATTCAGAATCATAAACGAATATAAGAAACAAACGTCCCTTAATCCACCCAACATAATCCAATCTATTCTATTTCAATCCTTTCTAATCAGAATTCCTTTCTAATCAGAATTCGACCAATTTGATTAAGAATTCAACTCAACTCATCTAACCTAATTATTACTTAAGTAGGTTTAGGTTGAATTTTTTGTAATTTAAATTAACTCAAACTCACTCAATCTATTTATCTATATACATAAATATTTTCCTACATCATAATATATAGGTTTTGTTTCATATTTTATATTATTTACTGAACAACCTAGTATACTTTACGTTGTATAAGTTATTATTATTATTTATTTGTTAATTTAAAACTTATATATTTGAACTTGTTTTACATATATTTTATTTTTATATTAGTTTATAACTTATGTGATAACTTTAGAGCTTTTTAAGACTAATATTATGATGAAAGTTAGTTTTCTTTTTATACATTTCTTATTTTGGATAGAATGATTAGCTTTACTTTTTTTATTTTATGTTCAATCCGATCAACCCACCCAACCTATCCAAAATTTAATTAGGTAGGTTGATTTTAAACTTTGAGTTAATTAGGTAGGTTAAATTTGAAATCAACCCATCATTGAGAGTGTTGAAAAATCTCAAAAACCGATCCAACACACCCGGTGTTCACCCTTATTTGTGTAAAATAATTAATATTAATTTTCTATTTTTTTAATTAGCTGAGTTTTTAATAGATTTTTTGGTTATCCCTTTCTTTTAAAAAAAAATTGAGTAAATGACTGTTTTTATCACATTTTTTAAATTTTTTATTTTTTAAACAAATGAAAAAATGATTGTTTTTTCTAATAGTCAATTAGTAATAAACATATAATTTACCAATAATTTATTTTAGCAAAATGATTAATTGATTCATTATTATAATTTATTAATAATTTATCATTAATAAACATATAATTTGTTATTGAAATTGATTAATTACTAATTGATTTTAGTTAATTATTAACATATTAATAATGAAAAAGCATTGACATAATTTGTGATAAACCTAAATCAGTCAATAATCAATCAATGATAGGCTAGTTAATCACTGATTAAGTACTACGTTAATCAATTATTGAGCATTGAGTTAATAAAAAAAACAGATATTTGTTAATTTTACAAACTTCAGCTATCTTTCTAAAAAATCCTTAAAAAGTCATATTATGTTAAAAAAGAATCATATATGTTGTTATCCCTTTTTTTTTTTTTTTGTATATTTATCATTTGCAAGGCACATCACGTTTTCTTTCCTGATTTCAAGGAAAGTCGAATTAGACTACCATTGCAATATTTATGTTACACAATTAAAGGAGTTTACTGAGTTTTTAATTCGTTGAAATATGACTTTATGTGAAAAATTTTTATTATAATAAAAAAATTAAATGTGATAATTTTTTAGAGCTTTTTACTGTAATAAAACTCGAATCGGATAAATAAACGAGACCTAAATTATCAAAAATTCACTCTTTTTTAATAATATAAATAAAAATTAACAAGAAACGTTCATGGCTTCATTTACCTTTATCAACTAACAAAGCCGCCAAACCCCTCCTCCTCCTTCTTCTTCTTCAAGAAACCTTTGTCGTTGTTGTCCTTGTTCTGTCGTTCCATCACCATTTCCCTTCGAGCTTCATTGTCATCATCCAAGCTGCAACGGCAATTGATGATCGCCAAACCAAAACCGGTTGAGAAAATCGACCATCGAACCTTCAGTTTTCCTCCCTCTTTCGGTGGTGCTCGCCTGCTCGGTTTATAAAAATAGCGAAACTAAAGGTGTTGGTGGTAGGTAACCAAAACAAACAAGATAAAAATACATAGTTTGCCGTGAATTTGTACAGAATTATTATTTAGGTCATATTCTAAATAATTAGATACTATTACAACCTATTATTTTCCATTAACTGAATGATAATTTTTTTTTATTTTTTAACTGATATAAATAATATTTTTAAGCATCTTGGGTGTATTTTAGGTTTTTTTCCAAAAAAAAAAAAAAAAAAAAAAAAAATCGGTGGTGATCGATCAACGAACAACCCTAGTTTATGGGCTAGGCTTTTGTGAGTTGAGTCTATGGGCCTAGCTAAGTGTTTGGGCCTGGTTCAATTACACTTGGGCTTAGGTTGAGTGTGAGGTTTTGTGTACTAGGCCTCGTTCGTTTCGCTGATTCGAGTTTAGAATTCGAGTTGAGATGTGATTTTATGTGAGAGCTTTTGACTGTAGCAAAAAAATTAGATGTGATTGTTTGTGAGAGCTTTTTACTGTAGCAAAACTCGAATTCTAAACTCAAATCAGCGAAATGAACGAGGCATTATCTCTTCATATTAACTTAAAAGAAAATTACAGATTGTAACTCAACTTAATAAAAGTAACTATTTTAAAAAATTCAACCCTTTGAGTAGGGGTAGGGAGAGGAGTGACTGCTAGGAAGAGAAGGATAGGTGGTGACAGTGACACCATGGATGACTGAAACCCCATTTGGTTCGCTATTTGAATTATGTTAATTTAAAATTTTTTATAAAATTAAAAAATTTAAATCGTGTGTTTTAAATTGTAGTTTGAATTAATGTTTAGATGTGCAGTTTAAAATTTAATTTAAACAAGAAATAAAATTTAAATTTGTGGTTAGTAAGTGTGAAAAATATAGAGAGTGTGCACATTTTTACTGTTCAAAAATAATTTGAATGGTTAAATTTAAGGTAAGAGTTAAACTTTGACAGTTTAACTCAATTCAAATGAAAAATATATTTCAGATTGCATACTTACTAAACACGAATTCAAATTTAATTAAACTAAGTTAAACTAGTGAAACAACAGTGGCTGAAAAATTAAAATTCTAACAGGGAATATCAAAATTCTAAAGTAAAAGTTTTAAAAGTGATAGTGCAAAGTGAGAAGGAATCTGATTATTAGGCACATATCCAATTGATCTTTTTATTATTATTTTTTTCACAAGAAAAAGAAAAATCTTGTAATATTAACCTTAGAAGTTTACCTTTTTTTCCCTGGGCATAACTTATGAAATTACTGAAAATGTTTTTATTTTGGATATCAATGAGCTCACTTATAGTTTATCTTAAAATTTTCACAACCTCAATACCTTAAATGCAATGGAAGGTAACAAGAATTTTCTTGTGGCATGCCCAAGCTATAAATTTCCTTTCATTAATAAAATATTTTCTTTTTCCATGAATAGGTTAAAGCAATTAGAAACTAATTTTGGTTTTTAGAGCGTAGTTGGGCATTCAGCCTCAAGGCTCAAAGAAGACATTTTCCTATATTTATTTTATATTTTATGCACTTAAACATTTTAATGTTTGGTTATGTTTTCAAACTTCTTTGAATATTTGGTAATTGGTATGTTTTGAAACATATATACTTAATAATCTAATAGTATCATATATATATATATGTGTGTGTGTGTGTATTTGATATTTAGATATTTTAATGTGTGTTGATTATTATGCATGATTTTAACTATAAGTGATATTAAGTAGTCAATTAATATAGTTTTGAATACAATATAAAATTCCCACTATTTTTGCTAGTTGGGTTATAAACGGGTCATAAACGTGTCTTTTTTGGGTTGGCCTGTCACGGCACGTTTAGTAATCGTGTTCACGTGCCGTGTCGTGTTAACTGTATTATTAGCGTTTTATTTTCGTGTTTAGATTTCTGACACGTTTATTAATCATGTCGTGTTCGTGTTTACTATAATCGTGTCGTGTCGGTCTGAATACGACACGCAAACACGAATTGTCAACCATAAACATAATAAGACAGAAGCACTAGAATAAACAAAATCATGGCAATCACTATGAGCGTCCAAAATTGACTTTTAAGACCTCTTTGCCCCGACCTATTACATATTTATGATCATGTTTTTTTAATAACTACACTAATAGTCTACTAAATTAATGGGAGCCATGATGGAAAAAGTAAAATTAATTAATGATTGCTTTTAGTACTGAAATTATAGTGATAAAATCTTGACCTTTCGGCAGTATCTTAAAACCCAACATCTTGAACGGGTAGATTATCAAAAATTTAAATCAATATGGAATCCCACTTTTAACTATTGGATCCACTAATCAAAGAGAAAATCAAATTGAATCCCGGTTTTCATAAAATATTAGAGGTCTAAATGAAGAAGTGGAAAAAAAGTTCAAACATCATAGACGAGAGCAACAAGAGTCGAATAGTTTCCAGCAAAAATAATAAAAGAAGTCAACTAGCATAGATTATTGGCCCACTACAAACAAAAACAAGTAAAAATATTATGAATCCAAATATTTTAGGTCAAATTACTAGTAAATGCTTTTATAGTAAAATATCTCTATCAATAGTCAATAACGCACTTCTAAACCTGAAATAGCATTAAAATCTTATTAAAATTAAATAGTCTACAAATGGAACATAATCTTGTGACTGAAAGCATAGATAGTAATTTTACATCTAATTGCATATTAAAATCTCGATTTCAAATGCCTCACCCCTAAGACACGAAAAAAAATGGTATGAAAAGATTCAAGAAATTCGATATATAAAAGTGACAATAAAATATTTATTCTGTTCTTCACCAAGGAAAAAAAAAATATCAAACTATCATTTACTTTTTATTTCTTAATTATTTCCTTTCTTTTTTTTTTTCCATCTGTTCCTCTATTGCCCACACCAGGCACGTGCATTATAGTTTCGACACGTGCCGTTATTTCCTTTTCAATATAAAAGGAGGATAACTCCGGAGAGCAAATTTAAACACGCAATAGTCTCCGATAGATGCGCGGGGTCGACGAGTTTTTTTTAAAACCTTCTTATCATTCTCTCGTTCCTCCGCGTTCGTGGCTTTACACCCTTGTTTGTTTCTCGGGAAAATTTCCCAGGTAAACTAATTAATACCTTTTCTCTCCAAAAAGAAAAGCCTTCTCGACCAAGAAAATAGAATCCCCCACACGCGTCGATAGAAATTCGACTCTTGAATACGCAAACAATCCTCCATATTCGTTCCAATAGTTTTACGTCATTACGATTAATTTTGTTTTCCCTTTCTTTTCTCTGAAATTCTGCGATTCTAGGGTTTCGGAAATCCGAGTTGGATTGTTGAATAGTTAGCGGCGATATGAAATTTGGCGAAACGTTCAGAGAATACCAGCTGAAAGAGCAGGAGGGATTGAAGGATAAATGCTCTTATGTCGAGTATAAGCGATTGAAGAAAGTTTTGAAGAGCTGTCGGAGTTGCAAACCTTTGCAGGATGTTTGTGACGATGAACGGGAAGCTGCGAATCAACATATATGTCAATGTCAATCCTGTCCATGTAAATTTCTCTGCTTTTTTACTTTATTTTTTGTCCCTTTTTTTAATATTTTAATTTTCCTTTATTTTTTTACGCCTTGAGAAAAAAAAAAATTACGGTAACAACAATTGGTTACACTTTTGAATAGACGTATAAAAAAATGTTTACTTTCTCTCCTTTTTTTTCTTTTAAATTATTGTATTTGTAGAAGAATTAAATAGTTTGAATCTGCAATAAAAAAATCTCGTGACCATGTTCTATAAATTAATTTAGAATGAAGCATAGAATTTAGTGCTACATGACGCCCAATAATTTCGTTTAGGAATCTCTGAACCCCAAATGAAGAAGAATTAAAATGAGTATTTAAGAAAATTTTTTATTGCCATATCAAATCTCAGTATTTGTACTGTCGAATTTAGCATGTTTTCTTGTATTCCCAATAGAAAATACATAATTTTTCATCATTGTCTCACAATTGTGATGATTAACGTTGAATTGAAATATGTTCAAACAAAAGAAGGATTTTTGACCCAAATTCTCTTGTTTCATAAAGGGGCCTTTATTGTTTGCAGTATATTTATTGAGATTCTTATGCATGTGAGTTAGGTTATAAGTTATAATATTATGCTTGCTCTACATATTAGTTCTGTATTGGACAAGGACAAGCATATGCTTCTTTTGTAATATTCTGTCCAATATTTTATTATACAGTACCTTGTCTCGAATAAGATTATTTTGTTTGTAACAGTTAAGGCCAATAGATACAAGTATTAACTAATTCGAATTTCATGCTCCATTTTCTAATCTTGTCTAAACGAATAAATGTTTCTGTGCATGTTTCTTTTTAGTGTGTGACGAAACATTCTTCTCAGAGCTGATGAAGGAAGCCTCGGATATCATTGGATGTTTCAGTTCAAGAGTCAGACATCTCCTTCATCTTCATATTTCGAGCGGAATGCAGAGATATTTATTGCAACTGCGTAAATGTTTCAGGAATGACCAACAAGCTATGGTTGAAGAAGGAAAGATGCTCATTGATTATGCTGCAATGAACGCCATTGCAATTAGAAAAATTCTTAAGAAGTACGATAAGGTACGGAGTACGGACCCATCTAGTCATAGTCTGGAATTCCTCAGAGTTGGTTGCAATTGTTCTTTACAGATTGATGACATTCTTTGTGCCTTTCTCATCTATGGCAGGTACATAGCTCTGAAAATGGCAAGAACTTTAGATCCAAGTTGCAGTCTGAACACATTGAACTTTTGCAATCACCTTGGCTTATAGAATTGGGTGCTTTTTGTCTCAACCTTAATGGATCGGATGACAGGGAACTTCATGAAATATCTGGTCAGTTTTCATGCGATCTCAATGCAATGCCACCTGTAATGAAAATGCCGCTTCCAGATTCTAGAAATCTGGACTATGATCTAACTTGTGCCATTTGCTTGGTAAGATCTTACTTTTGGTTGTGTAAACAAACGAAGAAAACAACTTTTTTTTTTCCATGCTAGTTCCTGATATGAGTTTGGTTATTGTTCAGGACACCGTTTTCAATCCATATGCTTTGACCTGTGGTCACCTGTTTTGCAAGTCATGTGCTTGCTCGGCGGCTTCTGTGTTGATCTTCCAAGGACTAAAAAATGCAAGCCAAGAGGCAAAGTGCCCAATTTGCAGAGAGGTTTGTATCTATCTAATTTAGTAAAACTTGTAATCCAAATCCCTTTATGTGTTTCGACATTAAGGCCCTGTTAGTTTCGTTCGTTCCAGTTGAAAACTTGAGTTAAAAAGTGAATTCAGAAAAAGTTGAATTTGAATTTTTGTGAGAGAGAATAATGTATCAAAAACTTGAGTTGTGATTCGAACTAGCGATATTTTGGGGCCTAAGCTTTGTCGTTTAAAACTTCATTCTTTTTGCTTCGACTAATTATGACCTACTAGGCCAATGTTCCTTGCCAGCCATTTTGTTATCTCATAGTCATCTTCTAAGCTCTATTTTAAAATTAAGAAGAATTCATTCCGGTCACTTCAATCTCACAAGGCTTTCTTTTTTCTTCCCATTCTTTCTAACACAGGCTGGAGTTTACACTAAAGCAGTGCACATGTTAGAACTAGATCTGCTTGTAAAAAGAAGGTAAAGAAATTATAGCCCCCTGATCTTTCTTTTTCTTTTTCTGCGTTAGTAAAGAAATCTATTATGTTCTAGTTCTTAAAAGAGAAATGTTAGCGTCATTCTTTCTGTCACTCTCTGTATTTGTTTGACACGTGGACTCCACTAGTATGATATATTATTATTTAAACAGAAAATGATGTAGTGGAGTCGACGTGTCAAATTGTGAATGCAGAGAGTGACAAAGAGAGTGACAGAAAGAATGACACTAGCATTTTTCTTCTTAAAAAAATCTAGGTGCAAAGACTATTGGACGGAGAGGATGGCTGCAGAAAGAGTGGAGGTTCTGAAACAAACCAAGGAATTCTGGGACTTACAAACCAAATACATGATTGGATATTGATGCTTTCTTCTTCTTTTAGTTTAGCACATAAAGCACCAAATGGGACTCAATAACAACAAAAGATGGTATTGTGGCCTGATGCAAATATTGGAATGCTCGGTAAAGCTGGTTGATCTCCACAGATTAAAGTCCCATAAAACCACCTAATTGAAGCTTAAATTGAAACATTTCGTTTCTGATTGAAGAACATTTTCTTCGCAGCTCATTTGGATAGTTTTGATCCCCAGTTCAATCCTTTATGATAGTGATCTTAGTTGCTCAGCATATTTCTTTTACGCTTTACATTCGTTATTTGTTTTGGTTGCTGAGGATATAAAGGGAAAAGAAAATAGTGTGTGATGAGATTAAGTTGCAAATTTCAATAGATCAGTTTGATATTTCTTGCACGTTCTGTTGTTAAATGAGCTCTTGCTATTGAGTTGGAATCTTCCACTAAAAGAGAGAGGGTTGAAAGAGCTCATTTATCAAACCCTAAAAGAGCTGATTTTGCATTTTGGGTGTTACGCATCGTCGAAGCTTCGAAAAGCCACGACCTCACGCTAGAGTGTCGAAGCTACTTTGCGAGGGTCCACGTCAGATGGTATAAGTGGCATAATAAATCAACAAATTTAAATAGTTCAGAGATTATATAGGAGATAAATTTATTGTATTCAAACATGAATTCAAATTGTAATTAGAAGATAAATCCCACAAGTTATATAGGGATAATAGATTATTTTAAATCCTAAGAGTATAAAGATAGACTATAATCCTAATCTGATTCGGTGGCAAGTCTATGAATAGGGCCGGCTAAGAGCCCATATACTCGTGCACAATTTTAGGCATAGAGAGATTTTTTTTTTGGGTGTTTTTGTCATTTTTAACAAGTGTAGTGAAAGTCTAAGGGCTTTAAAGTAGGGTGGTAATTCGTGTTGGCGGATTGTGTTTATGTCGTGTTGACTCTTTCAGTTGACACGAACACGATCCGTTTATTAATCGTGTTGAAATACAAAACCCAAACACGACTTGTATATTGGCAGGTTGACACGACAGGACACGAATAACCCGTTTATTAAATAGGTAATCAACGACTCGTTTATAAAATGGGTGGTAAATGAGTCGTGTTAACCTATTTTTGAACCTATTTTTGAACCTGTTTATAAAATACGTGATAAATGGGTCGTGTTAACCTATTTCTGAATCTATTTTTGAACATGTTTATAAAATAAGTAATAAATGGGTTGTGTATCGTGTTACCTAAATATGACACGTTTAATAAACGGGTCATGGCTGGTCAATTGCGGGTTGACGGGTTAACCTGAAAATGACACATTATTTAATCGTGTTTTACGGGTTCGACTTGATTTTGACCCGGACTTATTTATAATAAATTCAAACCCGCTAATTTCGTGCGGATTTTGAGTCGTGTCATTGTATTGCTACTCGGATTACCAGCTTTACCTCAAAGAGAACGTAGACATTATACTAGTGGAATCTCTATAAATTTTGTGTTCTTTTATATTTTATGCACTCAATATTTTCGTATTGCACATAAGAATTTCTTGAAGAGATTTAATCTGAGTTGACAAATTTTCAACATAAACGTATATGTTTACAATGAGTAAACACTTTTTAAATAGACAAAACTTATCTTTAAAAAAATATGCTAGTACAAAAATGAATTATAAACCGTATAAAATTATTTACTTCTATGAAACTAGCTGACCCATACCTAATTGTCTCCGGTTCAATGTTAAGTCCCTAGAGGACTTAATGTGGGGAAGTTTCCAGTCTGATACCGGACCAAAAAGGCAGCTATTCAGTCTATTAGAAGTTTTTCAGATTATTGCTTTAGCTTACCCCTGCCTAGTGGTGGAACTTTGGGCCGGCAGGCAGGCCTGCTGCCTGAATTTTTCAGGCTCGACGAGCAGGCCCATATGCCGGCCTGTCCAAAGTGAAAATTCGGGCTCGGGCAGCCTGAATTTGGGCACCTCGCCGGAGCCCGCCGCTGTGTAGGCGCCGTCAACCGCCGTCCACCGAAGTTTTTTTTTTTGAATTTTTCCGGCCAAGCCCGATTTGCCCGACTCGAATTTTGCCCGAATGCCCGAAAACTCGTCCAATAGCTAGTTTTTTGCCCGAACTCACCCGAACCTGACCCGCTGAACCTAAAGTAGCTATTGCACCCCGAATTTTTTGAAAAAAAAATCAACTTTTTAACCCAAAAATTTCCCTATAAATACCCCCCATCCCCCACACATTTTTTTCACTCAAACTCTCTCGATCCCTTTCAATTTCTCTCAATCTCTCTCAATTTCTCTCAATCTCTCTCAAGCTCTCAAATCTTTCTCACAATTTTTTCAAAAACTATCACATTATCCTAAAGCTCTCTCTCTCAAATCGCTCTTATTTTTTTTATAATGGATCCTTTTGGTTATAGTGAAATTTCCGTTAATGCCCAACACAACGTGGAAGATAGGTAATTTCCCACTAATGAATTTGTTACACAGGAATCTACTAATCCGAGCCCTGCTGGACATACTGGAGGTCGTGGTCTCAATGGTGGTGGGCGTGAAGAAGCGGCGATGGCGAGTGCCAGTGCGATTGCTTCTGCAAGTGTTGCAACCTCTAGGAGGAAATGCAGGCGCACCTCGACAATTTGGGATCACTTCAACATAATTGATGAGATCGACAATGAAGGTAACATTAAATATATAGCTCAATGTAAATATTATTTATCTAAATTACAAGGTGACACTATTCACGACACTACACATTTGAGAAGACACTCCGAAAAGTGTCTTCAAAAGCTTAGCCAATCCGGCAGATCCGAACTCCGCCAAACACAATTATCTTTTGATCGCGCAACCGGTGGTTTAACCACTTGAAAATATGATCCACAAGTAGATCATATGGAAGTTGCATGAATAATAGCTGCTTTAGATCAACCACTTAGTTTTGTAGAGCATCCTAATTGGCAAAAATATATTAAGATCCTAATGCACAGTTCCCTTCAAAAACTACTCGTAAGAAAAATTTATTAAAATTATTTAAAAAAAAGAAGCATTAATAAATCTTTTACACTCGACTAGCGGGTGCATTGCATTAACGGCAGATATTTGGTATGTCGTTGCCAATAAAGATTATTTAGCTGTAACCGGACATTACTTTAAAGGATTTGAATTAGATAAGAGAATATTAAGTTTTAAATGTGTTCTAGGATCACATTGTGAGGATTTAATATATAATACCATTTTAAATGTAATTGATGAATTTAGATTAAGAGATAAAATAATAGCTATAACATTAGATAATGCTAGTGCCAATACAAAAGCAATTGAGTTCTTTGAAAATGATTTAAGTTTATTCGGTGACGGTACAAGTTTCCACCAACGGTGTGCATGTCACGTAATTAATTTAATTGTTAAATCTGGTTTAAAAGAAATGGGTAATCACATTACAATAATTAGAGATAGTCTTGCATGGATTCAAGGTAGTAACCAAAGACAAGAATATTGGTTTAGGTTCTTAAAAACATTAAATATACCTCCTAGAGCATTAGCGTTAGATATGCCTATAAGATATAACTCAACTTACATAATGCTTTAACAATGCATCCCCTATAAGGATGCTATAACAAACTATATGTGTGCAAAAGTAAGAGTAAATCATATAGACGCATATGATTGGTAAATTACCAAAGCTTTGTATCAATTTTTAGGTAGGTTTCATGAAGTGACTCTAAAACTTAGTGGAACATATTATTCAACATCACCTTTACCTTGAGGAGAACTTTTACGAATTAGTATTTTATTTAGCAAATATAGGGAGGACCTAATCTTAGCAGTTCCTATCCATTCAATGGAAAAGAAATTTATAAAATATTGGTCTACGTTGCCTTTGTTGTATGGTTTAGGTACTATTTTTGATCCTAGATTAAAATTAGAAGGTTTAGAAAGTGGTTTAGATAACTTAAGTGAATTTTTAGGCATCAATTGTTCGGACCAATATCCAATAATAAAGGAAAAAATATTTTCGATCTATAGTAAATATGAGATTAGATTTAGAGTACCTCCTAGAGTACAGGAACCACAACAATAAGACGAAAACCCACATTCATTCTTGAATGTTTTCGGGTTGAAGAAGAAGAAGAAGACAACTCAAACAGAAGCTAAGAGTGAATCTTCGTCAACAAGTGGCAGTGGTAGCGGCGGCGACAACTTCAACGAGCTTATGGCATATCTCAGTGAAGGCTTAGTAGTTGACGGTACGGCAGAATCGTTTGACTTAGGTCAATGGTGGAGGGCACGGGCATTAACTTGGCCAATCCTAACTCGATTGGCAATGGATATATTTTCGATCCCAGTCTCCACTATTTCATCCGAGCAAGCCTTCAATACGACAAGAAGAATACTTGAAGAACGCCGGAATGCATTGCAAAGGGATATTGTTGAAGCCTTGGTTTGCATTAAGGATTGGGATCGGGCCGATCAACGTCTACAGGATACAATTTCACCGGCAAGTCAAGAATGAATCGATGAATTTAATCGATTAACATTTACTTTTGAAGACGATCCTTCAACTTCAAATTAAATTGTAAATTTGTAATTTGTAAATATGTATTTACTTTTGACATTGTATTTGTAATTGTATAACTTTGTAAGTTTGTAAAATTTGTAATTTGTCACAAAATGATTGCACTCTTTTTTTCTTGCCCAGTTTTTATCCCAATTGGGTTTTTCTTGGTAAAATTTTTAACGAGACAATCATGAATTACGAATTTAATATACATCATTAATATACATGATTAATTTATTCAATTGTGTTAACAATGTCTGTTGAATGTTGATTTTGATTTTTATATAGTTTTAACACCAACTAACTTAATAATTATAAAAATTAAAAAATATTAAAAAAAATTCGGGCTATTCGAGCTGCCCGGCCGGGTTCGGGCAACCAAATATAAGCCCGCGGCCCGTTCAAGGGCATTTTCGGGCTCGGGCAGACGACCCGAATTTTTCGGGCAGGTTGGGCTCTGGTAAAAACTCGGTATTTTCGGACGGTCGCGGGTGGCCCGTCTAAAGTTCCAGCACTACCCCTACCATTGCCAACTAACAAAGACAAATTTTTCTTTGAATCTGAGACGTCGATTACATATCCAATGATCAATTTTAAATATTCTAATCGATCATATACAATTCGAAACATCTGACCGGAGACTATTCCTATATATATATATATAATATCTATATATATTTAAAAAGCTCCTGCAAAGCTCAACTTAAAAAGGCTCCACAACAAGTTCTATTCGACCACATGCTGGAAATTTAATAGTTATTAAGAGCCCATATAGTTCGTTA